CACACCCACACACATCCACACCCCACACACCCACACATCCACCCACACACACACACATCCGCACCCACACCCCACACACCCACACCCACACACACATCCACACCCCACACACACATCCACACCCCACACACCCACACCCACACACACATCCACACCCCACACACCCACACCGACCCACACCCACACACCCACCCACACACACACACACATCCACACCCCACACACACACACACACACCCCACACACCCACACCCACCCCACACCCACCCACACCCACACCCATACCCACACCCTATGGATACAAAGGTACGATATACTCATCAAGATCGAGCATGCCCAACCATTCTGATAGATCTCCATAACGAATCAGACAGTCATGAAGCGCTTCAGTTTGAAAATATCATGTCGAGAGAACGTCAGATAGAACAAGTGCTGAAAAGTTCCACTGAACAACATCAATAAGTCCTGGATATTTTTTGGTGTAGGTATCAATTAAAAGTGAAAGATGTCCATCGTTATCGGTAGTGTTGTAGATGACGAACTTTTGAAATCCGACCAATCGATGAAACTCGATCCATTGAGATAGATACAAGGCTTTATTGTGCAGTGGAGAAGTGCATAATGTTGGTGCTTGTTGGTTAGTATTTGATGAAATGGTTTGCGAGTGAGGAACAGTTACAAATGCTTTAAGAATTGGTGCATTGCGGTTCTTGTCTAATACCGAAGCGAGATACGGGTGTGGGTGTGGGTGAGGGTGTAGGTGCAGGTGTGAATTTAGTTGATATCAACACCTGTACACCCACACCCTTTATTGGTATTTACGAAAGATGAAGAATATTGCTGAGTTAGTCATTCTATTTTTTTGCATATGATTGTCTTTGTCATAAAAACATCTAAAAGCAAATGAATCATATGATAAAAAGGAATTTTTTTAAATATTGTGGATTGTGTGATAGTACTTCTGAATGAACTCATAGTTGGTTGTCGTCTACCTCCATTTGCTAGTATTGTTCGTTGCATTCATACTCAAAGTAAATCTAATCATCGTTTTAATAGATATTCTTTTTTTCTTAATCATTGCTGGACGATCTTTCAACAACTTTTCTTTTTCTTTATGTATGGATTTTTGTGTGTTGTACAATTGTTCGAATCATTACAAACATATCCACAAATAGATCGAGTAATATTCTAGAGCTATGATATATTTACATTTAATTTTCTTGATAATTCATCGTCTACATGAGTGGAAACATTTTATTTAATCGAAATTTATATTATCGGTTTTCTCAAGCGAAATATATCACTCAATATTTTAATAATATTTCTTTTAATATCCGTTTATTCAAACCTAAGTATTTTAATTAATCAATGAACCTTTTATTCCTATACAAAATGGTCTATTTGGTATTAATGCAAAGAAATATTTATCATTTTTCGAGATCCTTTTTAAACGAAAAGTCCAAGAAGAACAATGTTTCAATATGATTTTTTTCTCAGCTTGCTTTTTGACTATAAGATTCAGTTCTTGTATAGGTATTTTTTTCATGTTAAATTTCTCTAATGCAGGGAATGTAGAAATTTACTTCAAATTATATAGCTCACTATATTTAAATCTACACTTTTAGATGACTGATAATGGAAGAGGAACGTTATTCTGACCTCATATTTATATGACTCATGAATATGAGGTTTCGAACATCAGTCTAATCAAATAATCAATGTGATACCGAAGTTCATTTAAGGACAAGGAACACATAAGATTACTCTTAATACATTTTGAGTATTTTTTTTTCAGTAGCATTAGGATATGAAAACGAGATTTTCAAGAAATAGTGAACATTTCACCAGATCAATATGTCAGGTTTTAGATCCCACACATACACCCACTCTAATGTCTTCTTCTTGAAATGTATGCTCAGAAAGAGGGTGGGTGTGGGTGAGGTGTGAATGAAGAGATGATCCACACCCTCTGTTGGTCTTGTTCTTACAAACCCTATTCCGGTCGACAAGCAATCTTAAGTGATCTATATGTTAATCCAAATACTCGTGGTTTAGGTATTGCGGGTTTATTAGTTCAAGCATGTGAAGAACAAGCTCGTCAACGTAAAAATATTCAGTCCATTATTTGGCAAACAGCAATAGATAATTATTCAGCATAAAAAACTTATGAAAGACTATGTAATTCCAAAAAATTGTGTTGATTATGAATTAGTTTTATTTGAAAAAAATTAAGTAGTATGAATTTCTTTTCCAAATGATAAAAATATTTGCTCTAGTGTTGTTTGTGAAATCGTATATGTTTCAATATTTAATTGTTGTTTATTTTCTTCAATCAATTGAAATAATTCAGCAGGTGTAGTTTGTGATATATGAAATAAACCAGTTGAATTTGTTGTTTCTTTTATTTCAACATGATATTGTTTTTGTGATAATAAAAATGATTGAACATTATGAATTGGTGCAATATTTGTGTCATCAGATATTGAGCGAACTTTTATTTCAATTGTATAGCCTTGACCAAATTTAGATTTTAAATGTTGAATTGTACCTAAACAAGCTAATTGTCCTTCAACCATGATACCAAGACGATTACAAACACGTTCACTAAAATAAAAATTTTGATTTTATGAAACACGACTTAAAACGATTGTTGAAATGTATAAAAGTAGAGATTTGCCACTCCACCCTTCCCTCACAGACCGTGACAGACATCTTTAGCAATGCCTTCCTTTCGTAACAGACATTTGGTATAGCATTCTCCTACTGATAAACCATAATTTACATACTCGGGACACACTGAACAGAGACCGAAAAACGACGTGAATCGAACCGAAATGGTCTTTTTCAAAGTTTAGTCGAACTGGACGATATGGATTCGGTTTGGGTCTATAGCAATTCTGAGTTTTGGAAAATCATGTTATATATTTAACGATGTGCTATCATTCCTTTTAAGTGCATAGTCAGTTGAAGAGCACTCAAATTAACTGATTATTAATCGCCAAAATAGTAAATAACAGCTTGCTTCAATTAGTTTTGTTGGCCCCAATCGAACTGGAATTGTCATTTAAAAAAATTGAGTCGAACCGAACGGAAACGAAAAAGTTGGGTCCACTTCGAGTTCTGATATTGAATTCTACCGCAGGATCAGTATGAAACACGACCGAATTTAAGCTACCCGTCATTTGCGCTTCTCTCACACTCACTGTAATATAGTATCGTTAACATCTTTCATCACCGACATACATTAACAACAGGTAGTAAGTCATGACTCAAATATACACTGGTAACTTTCCTTGTTTACAGTGTAGACAGGTTCATAGTGTTTGACATTTTAATCCCACAGGGATCGCACTAACAGCTTTTATTTATTGATTGTTTTTCTTTTCTTACCATTCATCCATGGAATGACTAGTTAAAATAATTGTTAATTTAGCTTTAACAGCATTTAAAAATATTTCTTGCATTTGTTGTCGAACATTTGGATCAACACCCGTTGTTGGTTCATCAAGAATAGCAACTAATGGTGGTCCTTAAAAAACAAAAAATTTCATCTTATCATTTTTTTTCTTTTTATCTATTTTACCAATCAATGCCATTGCAGCATGTAATCGACGTTTTGTTCCGCCACTTAATTGATGAATATAATTATTTAAAAATTGATCAAGTAAAAATAATGAACTCATCGTTTCAGCAATCGTTTTTATATGTGAAATTTTTACACCACGTATACGTGCTAATAAATAAAGACTATCTTGAACAGTTAAAAAATCCATACTACAATTTTCTTGTGGACAATAACCTAAATGACGTGTTGATCTTATACGACGATGAACATTGTGTCCATCTATATAAGCTGTGCCTTGCGTGGATAGTAAATCACCAACTATAACACGAAATGTTGTAGTTTTTCCAGCGCCCTATTTAAATTAACTGGAAAGATTGTTTTTTAAAACGTATTTTATATACTTACATTATAACCAAGTAAACCAAATGCTTCACCACGTTTTGCACCAAAGGTTAAATGATTCACAGCTAAAATTTTACGTCTTGGATAATATTTTACAAGATCATTAACTGTTAAATAATCAATATGTTCATCATCATCATCAAATATATTTGTTTGTAAATCTAATATTCGAGAACGTTCAGCTAAAACATAATCATCAAGTGTATTTTTATCAAAATTTGATTTATATAAAAATGAAAATGAGAATTTTAATAAACCAGTATCAATAATGATAATTAATGATAATAATAATGATATATGTAAAACAAGAATAAAACAATTCCATCCAATTGTATCATCCCCAATTGATTCAAAATGTGGCATTTTCAAATTAGTAATAGCTGACTTACAAGATATACTTTTTTGTGCTAAAATATATGTAACTATAACTTGAGCATTGATACTTGGGGATATTATATTAAATAACCAATATAAAAGCATTCGAACAGATGCATTTGCAGCAATCATTGTTATTACTGAGACAATAATACTTATTACATGAAGAATTGTTAATATAAAACATATTGACATTCCACCCTGAAAATAAAAATGAATTTTAGTCAACAGCCATTCATCGAAAGTTATAGAGCGAAAGAAGTGATTCAGAGATTTTGATCTGATGTTTTGCCCATAAGTAAGACCAGATAAGACTAGAATACATCTAAAATGATAAGGGCCCATGTGGCTTCCCTTCCATAGTTATGACCATTTTACTGACTTCCGCGTTATTCATAATATTTACCGTAAAAAATTGAATGACGAAGATTCGAGCTGAGATTCTTCTCATATAAAGGTCTCAACATCTTTAGAATATCCTAAAAGTTTCAGCGCAAACGGATAGTTTCTTCCTGCGATAATGAGTGCACAACAAATACCCATATTTCACAGAGCGGTGACAAAACTGAAATTTCTTGTACACTCATTATTACGGGAAGGGAACATCCGTTTGCACTGAAACTTTTAGAATATTCTAAAGATGTTGAGACCTTTATATGAGGAGAATCTCAGCCCGAAACTTCGTCATTCAATTTTTTACAGAAAATATCATATACAGCGTGAAAGTCAGTATTACAGACAAAATATCAGATCAAAAGATCTAAATCATTTCAAACGGTTCCCTTGTAAGTTAAAATAATATATTTATCTTCTCTAGGAATGTACGAGATCAAAAATATTTGTCCGCATTCGATCTAGTCGACAATTCTATAACAATACATACATTGATATCATTTTTAAAAAGTTTGGTTAATAAATAAGTAAATGGTAATGTTGGTAATATAATTAATATTGTTAATGGATAAAATTGTACTCGTAAATCCCATGGACTAAGAAATTCAAATAGAACTGTATTTTCTGTTTGAGACTTCTTGTTGGGTATATCATTAAAACCAACATGAAATATACAATAAACAGCAAGTAAATAACAAAACCATATAATAGAAATAATTGTATCAAAAAGATAAGTAAATATCCAATACGATGCTGGACTAAAATGAAAAATTCAATAATTTGACTAGAGATATAAGAGCGCAGAATGATTACAACGTAAAATCAAGAGAAATTCTGTCAACTTACTGTAAACCACTGATATTAAGCAATGATAGAAAGCTATCTTTTCGTTCGCTGATTAAAAATACAGTTACATAGAAGAATAGAATGTAAAATATAAATCTAAATAAAATAAAATAAAAACTTGTGATTACTAGTTTTTTAAATATTACATACATATCAAATAATAATGTTATTGGTAAAACTTTAAGAATACATGATATTATACTTAAATAATTCAATATATCCTCAATGGATGGTTGCGTTGTAAAATTTCCTATTTTTTTATAGATCAATGTCGTTTGAATTGATGCATCTGTATCATTTAATGCATATTTATAAAATGTATTTGATGCTAATGAAGTAACTTCATAACCGGATATTAAATTTGATGATAATGTTTGAATTTTATATTTATTTCTAGTTGGTTTTGGAATATTGAAAGCAAGATAAATATCTGTATATGTATATGGACGATCCATTCGTTTTTCTAAAATAACGAAAACAACGAAGATTCGCTCATTTTGATGATAGTAAACTTACGCAAAATCTCTCGATTCATTTGGGATATATTTCCTGATTTTTGTTCAAGTATTGCACCATCAATAGATGCAAGAAAATATTTTTCTATCATTGGATCGGTATGATATAAAATGGTTTGTGGATTAAGTGAATTTAAATTCATTTTAAATATTCCACTTTCATTGTGACTACGTGATGCTATATTTGATAAAAGATTATATAAAACTGGTAATAATAAAACAATTAGTGTTAATGCCCAACGACGATAACGTACAAGTAATGTTTTGATTATTAAACCATGATATTGACTTAAATGATACCGAATACCGGTAGAAATATGTTGATCATTAAATACACAATGACATTGTTGCTCTGAGAAAAAGATGAATAAAGGATTCAGTGGGAAAAGTAAAATTAAAGATGTTTTTTTTGTAAGGTAAAAGGTTAGTGAAGTACATTTTCAAGAATAACGATAGAAAATATCAAAGTTACGCTGAAAGAGCTGTTCATATTATTGAAATTTGAATTTTTCTGCAGAGGATTGACAGTAATCTTTCATGGACAAATATATAAAATGAATTCACCACACTTGCTCCCGTAACATTTTCTTTGCTACAGCTTCTAATTAGACCTACGGATAACCCGAAAGTAATTAGAAAGGTGCTGATATAATCTTAAGATTCCTTTATCTTCGTCACCCTCATTTTAGTCTCCATGCTAATAAACCATCCTCCTCATCCTCACATCGATCTCCGCGCTGACACTTCTTTCGTCCTCACTCCCACTCTCAAGAAAGCAAATGTCGTAGGACCATCTGTCTAGAGTGCAACAGCTGTACTTCCATATAAATCATATTTGACAGTGACTAGGATGAAAATCAGGTAGTCTAGTGATCGATCTTAGAGTTTCTATAGTTGTTTGAGCTTCCTCGGATTTATAGCTAACTTATGATAACTCAAAATAGAGATCTTATCTTCTAGAGCGACCGTCAAAAACAAGCGTTTTTAAGCAAATCACAAACCTAATGTATCAGTATCCACTGATATTGATTCTGATTCATTCTCAATATTTGTATCTTTTGTGAGTTTTAAAAAAACATCATCCATTGTACTATTTTGTACTCCATAATCTTTAATTCGATTTTCTCGTTTCATTGTTTCAAGATGATGTAATGCTTGTATAAATTGTTTATTTGGTTGTTGATTTGTACGAAAAACAACATCACCACCATATATATCTATTTCGATTTTTAATTCTGGTAAATAATGACATAACGCATTTTTAATATCATTTGTATGAGAATTATTCTGTTTATGAATAATTAATTTATAACCTAAAATTAATAATTTATTCTTAGTCAAAACTAGAAAATTGCTGTACCTAATCCATATTTTTCTTTTAATTCAGCTGATGCTCCATCGGCTTTAATATTTCCATTAGCAATAATTATAATTCGATCGGATAAAGCATCACTTTCTTCCATAAAATGTGTTGTTAATAAAAGTGTTTTACCTTGTTTCATTGAACGTAACCAATCCCATAATGAACGACGATTTGATGGATCAAGTCCACTTGATGGCTAAATATATTTGAATTTATTTCAATAAAAATAAAACAAAACACAAATAGATTACTTCATCAAGAAGAATTATTTTTGTGTCTCCAATAAAGGCACAAGCTAATGATAAACGTCTTTTCATTCCACCAGATAATGTATTACAATAAAGATCTTTAAAATTTTCAAGATCCATTAAATGAAGCATTTCATTTGCTATTTTTTCTTTATGTTTTTCAAATCCTCGTGCTATTGCATAAAATTCTATTTGTTCTTTTATAGTTAATAAATCAAAAAGTATATCATGTTGTGGACAATAACCCATTGATTTTCTTAACATTTCCATATTTATTCGTGTATCAAAATTTTTTCCATCATCATTCTGTATTTTTATTGTTCCTGATGTTTGTTTATATATACCAATTAAACAATTAAATATTGTTGTTTTTCCCGAACCATTTGGTCCAACTAATGATGTTATTTGATTTTCATATAAATCAAATGAAACATTATTAACAGCTATTTTATCCGGACCAAATTTTTTTACAAGGTTATTAACATGAACAATAGCTGTACCAGTTGAATTTCTTCTTGAAAGTAATGCATCACGATTAGGTAATGATTGAGTATGATGATCAAGTTTTTCTGAACGCCAATAATCTCGTTTAAAGAGAAAATTCCAATCAAGTGAAATACCATATTCACCTAAAAAATTTTCGATAAGTCCGATATCAATTCGACGACTGAGATTGTCGCCTTTCCATTCCCTGGGAATGAAATGCTTATGAACAGGAACGCTAATATTTATTTGAAAAAAAAATCATGTCTTAGCTTCTCCTGACAAAATTTAGAAATTTTGTCCTCTTCTTGAGTTTACGTTTTAGGAATGAGGAACACGAGATACGTACCCCGTTCCAAGAACGTAAAACATATAATAATCTCACATAAAGAGATCATCAAAACTATATAAACATCTTGACATATGTAAAAAATCGTAGAATACGTAATATGAAATGCATTCCCGTACCTTGGGAATAGAACACTGACACTCCTATGGACAGGTTCTAAAATAGCGATGAAGACTCCTTCTGGAATGGAATTACCTTTTCTCATCTAATCTTATTTCATTTCATCCCATTATCCCTTGGGAGAAACTACTATTACATAAAACTGTTTTTTAAAGATCAATAGAATATTTTGATACAGATATTGTCCCCATTTATTCGAGTGGAGCAGACAAGTCAGAAATTAACATTTTTCTACACTGTAAGTGTGTGCTCATAAGTTGTACTGTTTTAAAATGTATATTATAAATGCGATATTCCATGGGACGAAAATTATTTTCATAGTTGCCTCATGCTATATGAGACAGGCGGGGATCGTTGGTCCCATGGGACTTTTCTTTTCTTTCCATGTCATCCAATGGGGACTCCTGGTAGCTATCTGTCAAAAAACTTGTTTAGATTTTTACTTGGAAATACTTTTTCTAAATACCAAGATAATAACCAGTAAAAACTACAACTACAAATCATAATAATCAATGTTGAAAAATAAATTGGTACATAACGATAAATCGATTGAAATAATGATATATCTTTTTCCGCTAAATCATGTAAAACTGCTTGCTACAAAAAGAAAAGTTTTTCTCAATATTTCAATTCAGAAAACAATTCTTTACCTGAAAAAGTGAATATCCAGCAATATGAGGACAGAAAAATATCAGTAGATATTGTATTGTTGTCGGCCAAAAAATTGTATATGAATAAATTTTTAATGATAAAAGATAAATGACAAAAATAGTTAATTGTGCACGAACATTTTTATCAAATAATTGTGCAATCATTATACAGAATGAAATTAATTGTAAACTGAAAATTAAATAACCAAGAAAGAGAATATGAAAATTAACTGTGAGAAAATATCCATTTGGATTTTGTTTCAATACAATGCATAAGAGCAGGATTAAAAGACAAAGAATAATTAATGTACTATGAAATAAAAAAAAGAATGTAGGTTTTTAGGAAAAGATTATTTTCTTTTACCGAATTGCGTGAGCAAAATTATTTAGAATTGGTTCAATTCCAAGTACTTTAAGGATTTCTTTAACTTTAGCATTCTTCTCTTGAATTAAACTGGTTAGAAGAATACAATATCTAATTAATAAAAGAATGAATTAATCTATTGATTCCAAATTCTTTTACTTACGGAATAAGAAAGATCAAATCAATGAAAATTTTTGTTAAACTTGATAATCCACTTTCTAGAAATAAAAAATCTAACGAAGTTTATATTAATTTCATCATACCAAAAATTAAATTTCTACGAAATGATGTACAAATCATAGGAGTTCTTTCAAGTTCATATTCAATATTTGTATTCGTTTGATATCCAATAAGTAATGAATCAATAAATATTTTTACATCTGTAAATGCAGGTAATTTCGAACCTTGATCTTTATTATTATCATCCATTATATCCGATCGATCAGCAATGAGTGCTGAATAATTGAATTTGTATATGATCAAATTAAAAGAATTATTATTTACTCGGATGTAAAAATGATATAAACGACATATCAATTGGATCATTTTTTGGAATAGTATACAGCTTTCGAACCATTATATTGTCTAAAAATGAAGAATAACAAGCGATTGTTCTGACACTTTCTTTTTCGATATTTCAATACTCACAATCAATATTTCGTTTATTTTTAAGATCAGTTATTGAACCAAAATCAATAATAATTGTATCTCCTTTTTGATTTTGTAATAAATAACTGTCATTTCCATCATTTATATTTTGACTCCTTTATTACAAGTTTTGTTTCCGATATGATTGATGTATTAAATAAACTTACCAAACTTTCATGTTATTACAATTCATTTGTTCGAGACGTTTTTTAGCACGTTTAACAAGTTCTTTAGTTTCATTTGCCATAGGATGAAAAACAAGATTTATTTTATCGAAAATTGTTTCCGATTCAAATGAAATCCATCTACGTCCTGGATAACTTGGTGGAAATTTAAAACATTTCTTTAATAAATCATTTGATAAAGTTGTTGTAGGATTTATATTTTGTGGACATGTACGATGATTCAAATCTCTTAGTACTGACTCAGGATTAGCATTCATTTCTTTTACAAATGCATTTGTTCCATAACGGATTAAAGCTAATAATGCTATTAAAATAATAGGAAATAATAGTTCACAAAGTATTGTTGGACAACATTTACAACATCGTTTTTCCCTCTACTGAAAGGAGGGTCATACACCGAGCAAGGTTCGTATGT